CCATCAACCGCAATGCTAGTTCGCTCTCTTTTGGAGAGCTTTGAGGGCTTCCGAACACGCTTATGGGCAGACACGCGACAGCATGCCCCTTGGCTTTGGCCATACACGGTACCTATCTTGGCATTCGCCGTCCTTGCCTTATTCTTGCGCAGAAAACGGTCCAGTCTGCGAGTGTATAACCCGAAGAAATGGTGGGAACTCACAAATATGAGGTCCAGGAGGGACTTTGATACACATGGGCCGGACTGGATCCAGGCTTGGTTCTCGGAGAACGACAAGCCCATCCGCTTCGTTGTCGATTCAGGATACTGTTCCATCCTCCCATCCTCCATGGCTGACGAGTTTCGGAAAATGAAGGAACTTTGCATGTACAAGTTCTTGGCAACCGTAAGATGTAGCCCCCCTCTTGCTTTCAACTTCCTGCTCAAGATCTAACGCTTTGGCGGACATAGGACTTCCACTCCCATCTCCACGGCTTTGATGGGTTTAAGGAGGTCACCCGAGATGCGCATCTTGCGACCAAGGTTGTCTTGGGCCAATTTCAAACACAAGCCAACAAATACGTGATTCCATTGTCTTTAAAAGCCAAGAGTGCTATTTCAGATGTGATGGGCCACAACAAAGGTACGCAATCATTCTCCTCCACTACACAGTGAATGAATTTGGCTCTCGAAACTCACTGGTCACGCGGGAAACTGACGTGGGTTCGTTACCGAAATAGAATGGCACACGACGCATTTCTACAACCAAGGATTGGACTTGATCGTAAACACCGTCGAGTTCATAATGGTGGGTGAAGAGTTGAGTACCAATCCAGAATGGTTGGACATTTCGAAAAAACATGCCTTGACGATGGCTGTCCACGCTCGTCAGCTTCGTCTGTGGTCCAAACTGCTACGACCTTTTGTCCACTATCTCAGCCCTCTGGGCAAGAATCTGCGCGATCAAGCAGACAAGACACGCAGCCTCGTCGAACCCATCGTGCGGAAACGACGCGCCGAGAGAGCGACATGCTTGGCGAAGGGCGTGAAACCGCCGGTGTATGTTGATTCGATACAGTGGTTTGAAGAAGCGGCCAACGGCGACTGGTAGTGAGTCTGCCTCCTTTCTGGGACAACATGTTTTATCCCAGTTCTAATAGCCCCTCACTTGGGAACCTAGCTCTAACGTACACTAGCGATGCTACCGGTGCTCAACTCGCCATGCACTTTGCCGGAATTTACGCCACATCAGATCTCCTTATAGGTTCTCTTGTAGACATATGCAGACACCCGGAAATCATCGAACCACTTCGTCAGGAGATTCGCACCTGCATATCAGAGGGCGGCTGGACGCCCGCCTCGTTATTCAAGATGAAGCTCCTCGACAGCTGCATGAAAGAGACACAACGCATCAAGCCGGTCGAGTGTGCCACCATGCGAAGCTACGCTCTGCGGGACGTGACGTTCTCCAACGGTACCTTCATACCCAAGGGCGAACTGGTGGCTGTTGCGGCAGACCGGATGAACAACCCCAACATATGGGAAGAGCCAGAAAAATACGACCCTTACAGATTTATGCGCATGCGCCAGGATCCGGAGAAGGCCGCGAGCGCCCTCCTGGAGAACACCAGCGCGGACCACGTTGGCTTTGGCTGGAACCCTAGGGCGTGCCCCGGCCGTTTCTTCGCCGCCAAGGAGGTGAAGATCTTGCTGGCCCATCTGTTGATCCAGTATGACTTCAAGCCTGTGCCTGGGGACAACCTTGAGCTTTTCCGCCACTCGTTCAGCGTTCGGATACATCCCAATACGAGGCTCATGGTACGAAGGCGTGACGAGGAACTCCCTCTCCCTGTTAGTCAGTAAAATGGACCTCCAAGACCGTCTCCAGGCCCCGGAGTGAAACAGATAACATTGAGAGAATCTCGACTCAAGCCAATGTCTCAAATCATGTGGTTTTGCAGTTTGATGCTGGTAACAAGAGTTTCGTCCATATAATAAAATGATATACTAAAACAAAGCATGCCAACAAATTGGTGAATTGTCGTCTCTAACCTACACTTCTCTGCTCTGTTAGATTGGTCCTTACATTCAACAATCGTACTAGTAGTATACATCTATTCCAAGTTTTCTTATCAAGGTTCTTTATCATGTTTGGCCACTGCTTCTAGTGGGGAGACATAACCCCCAATATCTCAATGTCATCTGGCGGCTATGGTACAGTCGTCACATTTAATATCGATGGCAAGTCATTCAATCACGGTCCCGTCAATTTTTTAAATAGCAAAATGTCCGTCATTGCTGCATATATGAGACAAGTGCATGCTGAAATATCAATAATCCGAATCTCTCAGCCTCAAGAGATAACCTGACTACTTGGGTAACGATGCGTATATAGCCTTTTCAAATGTCTGAGTGAGACCTCGACAAATCGGATCATTCCAAGGCTCGAGCTGGTATGTAACGAGCGTGCAAATACCAGCGGCAGGGTCAATTTGCTGCAGGTGGTTGGAAAAGAAATATCAGCATGTCGAGCGATCCTTGAGACAGATAACGGAATCTTACCCAGATGATATTCGGACCGCCTCCCAAGGTCATCGATCCCTTCCGCCGCCACTTGTCCCCGTCGAGGTCCTCCATTGGAATGATACCGCCAAGCCCAAAGTTTCGTCTCAATCCCGTCATGGGCATAGGCCCGCCATAGTTGATATGCGTCGCCGAGTCCATGTGAGCGTTCATTTTCTTTTCAAGTATTTCGTCCAGAGCGGGCTGGAACATGAGATCGACCGTGCCCGGTCTCAAGAGGATGCCGTCATTCTTCAGCAAAGAGAACAGGACCTTCATGTAAGATTCCGGGCTTGTGAAGATGCCCTGGCCTCCGAAGCATTCCTCGCCGTCCTGGCGGAAATAGACCGTGTCGTCGTACACAAGTTTCCCATCTTCCCTGCTGCGTTGGGTCTGATCAGCTCGGCGGGCCAGTAAGTCGGGGCGCTGTTGCAGCTTGAAGGTCATATCAATGATATCCAAGGGATCGCTCAGGTTCTCTTGCATGTAACTCTCCAGGTCCATGCCAGTGGCTCGTTCAACTAGTCTGCCGGCCCAGTCGAGATTTGACCCGTACATCCACTCGACACCAGGGTCGTTCACAGGCGGCGGTGCTAGTCGACTCTGAATACCAAATTTGTCGGCTGCCGGGAGGTATCCCTTTGACATATACTGCTGTAGGAGAGGGTTGATCAACACATAAGAGAGACCCGATGTGTGCGTTAAGAGATGTCTTTTTGTTTCCCAAAGAGTGGGTTCACAAAGTTAGAATACCATTACAAACCCCGACATTTATCTGGCAACGGAATGTACCAACCTCAGAGTAATAATGCCTTCGCGATCCCTCATGATTGCGTTTCCGGCATCGTCAAACCCAGCCAAGACCTTCATGCGTGTCAAGTCTGGGATAATCTTTCCAACGTTTTCATCTAAGCCGATGAGGCCACGATCCACACATTGCAGCGCCATGATGGAGGTGAGGAGCTTGGTGGCGCTGGCGAACCGCATTGGCGTATCTTCCTCCATCGGGGGAAGTCTCCGGGTCTCATCACGTCTTACCGTCCTGGCCCCAAAGCAACGCGCATAGTCGATTGTGCCTTGAGAATGTATACTGCTGTTGAGTTACCGTTCGAATGCGTAAAACGATTGCACAGATTGTCTCCGCTGAGGGTGGTTGAGAAATTCTTTCAAAGAACATACCGGTAGTGTTCTTGGCCATGACAACAGCCCCTGGAATCTTGCCAGACTTCACGGCCGCCGCAAACGCTGCCTCCATAGCTGTAATTGTGGGGACATCGGCGGCTGAACCGCCATCAAAAGCAACACTCCCCATGATTTGGCTTCACGATGAGGCTCAAGGACGCTGGCTGCGTGATGGGCTTACTCAAGAGGTGCAAGGTAAAAGAACTTCACAGAAATCACAGAAACTGAACCAACGGCAGTCTGTCTTGGGCTGCCACATCAACAAACCTGGCGTTAAAGCTTGTATCACACTATACTGAGCTCCGCTTTATTCGGGACCCGCATAGGTACCTTATAGCCGGCGGATAACACGGCGTGTTTCGGGATTTGGGACCGGGGTTATAAGCAAATAATCCTCTGATCTGTAGGCTACAACGCATATTTCAGTCCAACCCCACACGAGGCCGATAGCTCATTTGCCTCTGAATGATTGCAATCTCCGAGGGCTGCAATAGGCTCAAGGCTCTCGGTGACTTGGTTGAGTGCATGGTTGAGTGCATAGTCACGCCGAATGTCTCCATCACCGTCATGCAGCGGGACCACCACCAAATAATGAGTTATCAACCCAGATCAGTATTAACGGTCGAGGACGGACTCCCGTCGTTGCAAGAATAGATACCGGTCTCGGGATGCCACTAAATGAGCGCGATATCTCGGGACCTACCATTTTGCTGTCACCGTGGCAATTGCTTGAGAAGGTTGAACATCCCCTCCTTGTTCGGTGTTTCATTCAACGATGACTATCTCGCTCATCCTGCAGTGTCAGGGGTATAATGCCGATATCCTGGACAGCCTGACCTTCCGTTGTAGTCATCCATCACTGGAATCGAACCTAGCGAGTGTTTTTGTATTGAGTAGGCAGTATCGACAGCAAATATGGAGGCTTTGAGCTGCCGAGATCCACAAGGTACGATTCGGCGTCAAGATTCTGACATGCAAATCGTATTGAGTATCCTCACCAGCAATTACCCAGCCTAGTGGTCCAAACCAGAACATTTCTCAAGATTTCCATAATACTTTACCATTTACACGTGATTCTTTGATTCTGATAGTTGCCCCTGTGCCCAAGTGCACAGTTAGAGGTATACTGAGTAGACGCAATTCGGAACTGAAGCAAGTCTGAACCCAATTTTACTCATCTACAGAAGCGCGGTTAGGATACTCACCTCCTTATTTCTCATCGTTGTTCTGGTTTCAAGGCTTACCATTTCTCGCTGCCTAGTATTTTGAGAGAAAATGTCGACCTCGAGTCAAGCCTTCGTTCATAGCCCCGTTGCTATAGTTGGCATAGGGTGCAGGTTCTCTGGCGATACAACAAGTCCACAAAAGCTATGGGAACTGCTCGAGCAAGGACGGAGTACTTGGTCCAAAATCCCAACTTCGAGGTTCAATGTGGGCGGCGTATTTCACCCTGACGGCCAGAGGGTTGGTTCGGTACGTTTTACCTCGATGATTTGCACATTTACTGGGCCAAGGGACCCGATACACTTTAGCATTTTCGCTGACATCAAGCTCTACCAAAATAGGCCCATGTAAAGGGCGGGCATTTTCTTGATGAAGACCCTGCTCTGTTCGATGCTTCGTTCTTCAATATGACCAGTGAAGTCGCTAGGGTGAGAACAAAATTTGCTTGGTGAGGTCAACGACAAGAATCTGATAAACAGACAGGATATGGATCCGCATCATCGCTTGATGTTAGAGGTTGTCTATGAGGCTCTTGAAAGTGGTACGTGTCGAAGCATTGAGACATACAATGTGCTTGCTGGTGCTCACAGTTTTCTCTAGCTGGCATTCCTCTCGAAAGTGCCGCAGGAACCAACACAGCGGTGTTCGGCGGCATCATGTACAAGGATTATCACGATTTGCTCAACCGCGACCCGAAGTCTCTGCCTCGCTATTTCATCACGGGCAATGCGGGTGCCATGGTAGCAAACCGCATATCGCACTTCTTTGATCTGCGTGGCCCCAGCGTTACCATTGACACTGCGTGTTCCACGACACTCACTGCTCTGCACCTGGCGTGCCAGAGCCTGCGTGCGGGAGAGTCGGAGATGGCTGTTGTGGTTGGTGCAAACCTGATGTTGAACTCGGACGTCTTCGTGACCATGTCCAATCTCGGGTGAGGCCAATTCCTCCCTTTCTGCATCCCCATTCCAGCAATGAAGTGTTAGTCGAGTCGTCTAATTCCGCGACCAGATTTCTGTCCCCTGACGGCATCTCGTATGCTTTTGACTCTCGCGCCAATGGGTACGGTCGTGGCGAAGGAGTGGCCGCTATCGTGTTGAAAGCGCTCCCGAAAGCATTGGCCGATCACGACCCTATCAGAACCATCATTCGGGAAACGGCGCTGAATCAAGATGGGAAAACGCCTGCCATCACCGCCCCCAGCGACGTGGCACAAGAAAAACTCATACGGGAGTGCTACGACAGAGCTAGGATCGAGACATCGCAGACGTCTTACATCGAGGCTCACGGGACTGGAACACCAACAGGGGACCCCTTGGAGATTTCGGCCATATCAGGAGCGTTTCAGGGTCAGCCGTTGCATGTCGGCTCTGTCAAGGCCAATATTGGACATACGGAAGCTGCTAGTGGTCTGGCAGGAATCATCAAAGTGGCATTATCCCTGGAGAAGGGCTTGATGCCCCCCAGCCCCAGGTTCCTAAGACCCAACAAGAAGTTGATGCTGAAGGAGAAAAATATCAAGGCGCGTCTTTCCCCATATCGTGAATCGTGCGTGCATGCGAGGCTCACATTGAACAGCTCCTCTCGAGGGCCCAACCTTGGCCGCTGAAAGATGGCATCCGTCGCGCATCTGTCAATAACTTCGGTTTCGGAGGCTCCAACGCCCATGTCATTCTCGAGTGGCATAACCCAGACTCCCAGGACCGGGACCAGACTAACGGATCTGCAACAGTTGATGCAGTCTCCAGCCCAGCTCGTATCTACATCCTCAGTGCCAAAGACAAACTGGCGTGTAAGCGCATGATATCGAAACTGCGGAGCTACATCGAAAATGCAAACTCAACCCTGGAAAGAAACCTACTGGCTAGTCTCGCATACACTCTCGGGTCTCGTCGCTCGGCTCTCCCGTGGAAAACTGTATTTGCGGCTGACAGCCTCAATGGCATCTTGTCCAGTCTAGATGGCGGCCAGAACCAGCCCGAAATATCTAGAAAGGATATCCGCGTTGGTTGGGTGTTCAGCGGCCAGGGGGCGCAATGGCACGCCATGGGCCGGGAGCTGTTCCAGGCCTACCCGGTGTTCAAGACGGCGATCCTTGAGTGCGATTCCTACATCAAGGAAATGGGAGCAACATGGAGAATCATGGGTAAGCTCCAAAGATCTAAAACAAGATTTCGCGTTCCAAATTAAACTTTGCAGATGAGCTCCACCGCGACGAAGAGACGACCCGAGTGAATGATGCCGAGTTCAGCCTGCCGCTGTCAACCGCCATTCAGATCGCAGTCGTGCGTCTGTTCTGGTCATGGGGGATCCGGCCCACTGGCATCACCAGTCATTCCAGCGGAGAAGCCGCGGCAGCATTTGCAGCTGGTGTCTTGTCGGCTCGATCTGCGATTGGCATTACCTATATCCGAGGTGCTTTGACGTGTAAGGGCAAGTCGACATCCGGCCCTAAGGGCGGCATGATGGCCGTGGGCCTTGGCAGAAGCAAGGCGGATGACTACATTTCTCGTGCCGTCGGAGACAACAAAGCCAAGCACTTGGTGGTGGGATGTGTTAATAGCCCATCAAGTGTGACTGTCTCGGGCGACCTGCCCGCCCTTGCAGAGCTTGAGCGCCTGCTACACGCCGACAAAGTCTTTGCCAGGAAGCTCAAAGTCACTGAGGCATTCCACTCTAGTCACATGAAACCAATGGCAGCCGAATTTGCGACCTTGCTGGTTGGGCTGCTTGAGGCAAACGACGTCGACCTGGCGACAACACCTGGTTCGATGGTCTATTCGTCTCCCAAGACTGGAAGACGTATGAGCAATCTTGAACCATTGTTGGTTCCCAGCCACTGGACAGAGAGTATGCTTCAACCCGTCGAGTTTGAATCCTCCTTTCTCGACATGTGCTGGGACCCCAAGACGAAAGAGCAATGTGTCGACGTGGTTGTCGAAATCGGACCTCATGGGGCACTGGGCGGTCCCATAACGCAAATCATGCAGAAGCCGGAGCTTGGAGGAGCATCAGTCTCCTATCTCAGTTCTCTTTCTCGCGAGAAGTGCGCCGTGGTCACCACACAGGGCGTTGCCATGGCGCTTATGCGGCAAGGTTATCGTCTGGAGATGGACGCCATCAACTTCCCCCACGGTCGAGATGACGCCAACGTCAAGGTTCTCAACGACCTGCCGACGTACTCTTGGAGTCACCATCTCCGATACTGGAGAGAGCCGCGCAACAGTCGGGTTCTCAGGCAGAACGAGCACCCGCCACACCATCTCATCGGATCGCGAGACCCCCTATCGCCATTCTTCTCTCCAACCTGGACGAACACACTCCGGATGTCTGACATTCCGTGGGTTCGGGATCACATTGTTGGATCCGACATCGTCTTCCCTGGTGCCGGGTTCATCTCCATGGCCATTGACGCAATGTCTCAAGCTCATCAGCCAAACCCGGACGAGGAGACATTCTTCAGTCTACGGGATGTGGATCTTATGCAGGCTCTCGTACTGCCTGTTGACGCAGAGCTGGACGTGGATTTGCGCCTGGCCATTCGTCCTTGTGATGAGAAGTCTCTGGGGGTCAAGGGATGGTACGCATTTTCTGTCCACTCCATCCCTGGAGGGAAGAACACCTGGACCGAGCATTGCACTGGGCTGATCCGGATCGACAAGCTTGGCCAGACGAGCTGGGACGCTCCGGATTTGCCGGCGCTGAAGATGATGGATCCGGCAGTGTATAGCCGTAAGACGGATCCAAAGATTCTCTGGGAATCTTTGCACGAGACGGGAATATGTCACGGCCCCATCTTCCAGAACATCTCACAGATTCAGAGCAGCGGACGGCTGTCCCTCTGCACGTTCCAGGTCGCCGACACTGCCTCTATTATGCCATGCTCTTACGAAAGTCAGCATATAGTGCACCCGACTACGCTGGACTCGGCTATCCAGGCGGCATACTCTCCACTAGTCTCGACCGGAAAGAGATTGAAGGCCGCTCTCGTACCAAGGCGGCTCAAAAAGCTGAAGGTAGCATCCACCCTCTTCAACTTCGGGGCTGGATCCGTGCTGGGTGTGCAAGTCTGCCTGAAGAAACAGTCTTCTCAGTCGTTTTCCGCAGACTTGGCCGTGTTCGATGGCGTGACCGGCGACGACAACCCTTCTATCCCAGACGTACTGATAGAGATCGAGGGCCTATCGTTTCAGTCTCTTGGAGTAAGTCTATCTGGCAAAAGACTGGACTCCGACGGCGGTGGGGATACTCGCAGCTCTTGGTCATGGGCCCCAGATATCACATTGATGGAATCCAGCCGACTGAGTAGTCAGTTGAGCGCTGAAGCTGAGCCACGGGAAAAGGATCTCATAATGGACCTCCGACGGTGCACGATCCACTTCATAACGGAAGCAATGGAACAGCTAACGACCGACGATATCGAACGACTAGACGGCCACTGGAAAAAGTTTTACCATTGGATGACGGCACAGCTTGCGCTCGCCCGCGAGGACCGATTGGGCCCCGACAGCTCTAGCTGGTTCCTCGATGATCCCGAGCACAAAACGAGCGTAAGAACCAGAGTCGTGGAATGCGGCGTCAACGGCGAGATGATAACTCGTCTGGGACCCCAGTTGCTTTCAATGTTGCGTGGCCAGGTCGAGCCCCTCGAGCTAATGATGGAGGGGCGGCTTTTATCCAGATACTACGTCGAGGCGCTGAAGTGGAAACGATCCAACACGCAGGCGAGCGAGCTCATCAAGCTACTTGCGCACAAAAATCCCCGTTGCCGCATTTTGGAGGTCGGAGGAGGGACGGGGGGCTGCACGGAACTCATATTGAGTGCGCTGGGAGAATCCAAGCCCGTGGATCGCTACGACTTCACCGATGTCTCTGCCGGCTTCTTCGAACCTGCGCGTGAGCGATTTGCAGACTGGCAAGGCGTGATGACCTACAGCACTCTGGACATCGAGAAGGACCCGGCGAGCCAAGGGTTTGAGTGTGCCTCCTACGACATCGTCGTGGCCTGCCAGGTCTTACACGCGACCACCAACATGAAGCGGACCCTAAGCAACGTTCGGAAACTTCTCAAGCCAGGGGGGAAGCTCGTCCTCGTTGAGACCACCAACGATCAGCTCGACTTGTTCTTCACCTTTGGACTACTGCCAGGCTGGTGGCTCAGCGAGGAGGAAGGACGACAGCTGACGCCATCACTTACCCCTGACTTATGGCGCACAATGCTGAGTGCGAGCGGCTTCAACGGTGTGGAGCTGGAAGTCCGTGACTGCGACGATATAGACTTTTACATGATCAGCACAATCATGTCCTCGGCAACAGTCGAGCCTATGACGGCTGATAAGGACTCGTCCTCTGACGCCGTTCTGGTGTACGGCGACCGCCCTCCCCCTTCGGAGTGGCTGAACGATCTGCGATCATCCGTCGCAGGCGCCACAACTACAGGCTCCGCGCCGTCTATAACTTCGCTCAACGAAGCAGATGTGGCTGGCAGAACGGTCATATTCCTCGGCGAGGTGCAACAAAATCTTCTCTCGAGCATGGGAACCGACGCCTTTGCGCGAGTCAAGTCGATGCTGATGGATTCCAGAGCCGTCATCTGGGTGGCTAGGGGAGCGACCATGGCCTGTGATGATCCCAGGAAGGCTCTGCATGTCGGCCTGTTGCGAACGCTGCGGAACGAGACCAACGGGAAACCATACATCTCGCTCGACATTGATCCCTCGCGCGACCCGTGGACGCACCAGACGATTGATGCCATCATCCAGGTCTTCCACGCATCCCTGAGCGCGGCCAATCAACACTCGGATTTTGAATATGCAGAGCGAGACGGCATCATTCATGTCCCGCGCGCCGTGAACAATCCTGGCTGGAGAGCCTTTGATACAGCTGAGGCCGCGCTGAAGCCCTTCAAGAGCAGTCCAGGCAGCCGACTCAGGATGCACGTCGAGAGACCTGGGCTTTTGGACTCGCTCCGCTTCCGGGAAGAGGAAATCCCGGGACTCCCAGCCGACTGGGTCGAAATCGAACCGGTCACGTTCGGATTGAACTTCACGGATGTCATGGTCGCCATGGGTCAAATCAAGCAGGATCCCGAGCCCTTTATGGGGTTTGAGTGTGCTGGAGTGATCACGATGCTGGGAGACGCAGCAGCCGAGCGGGGCCTCAAGGTGGGAGACCGTGTCTGCGCGCTCCAAAGAGGACACTGGGCAACGAGGGTGCAGACCCCGTCGACCAACGTCGTCCTCATTCCCAGTGGCATGAGCTTTGAGGATGCGGCCTCGATCCCCCAGGCCTTCGCCACCGCCTACATCTCCCTCTTCACGACGGCGAACCTGCGGAAGGGAGAAAAGGTCCTCATCCACAGCGGCGCGGGCGGTGTCGGCCAGGCCGCCATCATGCTCTCACAACTGGCGGGCGCCGAGGTTTTCGTCACGGCGGGAACCCAAGTCAAGCGCGACTTTATTTGCCGCAAGTTCGGCATTAACCCGGACCACGTCTTTTCAAGCCGAGACGCCTCTTTCGTCGACGGCATCAGGAATTGTACGGGCGGCGAGGGCGTGGACGTGGCCCTGAACTCGCTGGCAGGCCACCTTCTGCAGGCAACCTTTGACTGCATGGCCGAGTTTGGCAGGTTTGTCGAGATTGGTCAGAAGGACCTGGAGCAGGATAGTCGGTTGAGCATGCATACCTTTATGCGGAACGTGTCTTTCCAGTGCGTTGATCTCCTCGCCTGGGAGAGGGCCAAGGGGGACGCGGTCCAAGAAGCGTTGAAGCACATCATGAAGCTCCTGGAGGATAAGCAACTTGGTCTGGTCGACCCGGTATCGGCATATCCCATTGCCGACATCGAAAAGGTGTTCCGAACCATGCAGGGCGGCCAGCACATGGGCAAGCTCGTCGTGACGGCGTCGAAGAAGGACCTGGTCCCGGTCCGGATGGGGGCGTCGCCACTCAGTTTGAGACCCGACGCATCGTACCTCGTCGTGGGAGGCCTCGGAGGGATCGGGCGGAGGATCTGCGAGTGGCTCGTTGACCACGGCGCCAGGAACCTGATCATCCTGTCCCGGAGCAGCGGGGAGCGTAGCCCGTTCATGGCCAGTCTGGAACAGTGCGGCTGCGTCGTGCTGCATCACGCGTGCGACGTGGCTGACGAGGGACAGCTCGCGGTGATGCTCAAGCGGCGTGAGGAGATGAAGATGCCGCCCATCCGGGGCGTCCTACAGTGCGCGATGGTGCTCCGGGACGCCCTCTTCACGCAGATGACGGCGGACGAATTCAACGCGGCCCTGCGGCCCAAGGTGCAGGGAAGCTGGAACCTCCACGAGACCGTTGCCCAAGACGTCGACTTCTTCGTCATGCTGTCCTCCCTCGTCGGCGTCATGGGAGGCGCGGGTCAGGCCAATTACGCGGCCGCCAGCGCTTTCCAGGACGCCCTCGCGCAACATCGCAGAGCCCAGGGCAAGCCGGCCACGACCATCGACCTCGGCATGGTCAAATCTATGGGATACGTTGCCGAGGCGGGTCAGTCAATCTCGGAGCGTCTCTTGAGGATCGGCTACAAGGCCCTGCATGAAGAGGACGTCCTGCTGCTGCTCGAAAAGGCCATATTGTCCCCTTCCCCGCCCTTGAGCTCCTCAGACCCGTCGCAGGGGGTCATTGTCACAGGTATAAACGCATCGAAGGGAGCCCACTGGTCTGAGGCCCGTTGGATTCAGGAAGCTCGCTTCGCAGGGCTCAAGTACCGTGAGGCCCCTCTCGTACAGGGAAGCCGGGTCGCGGGGTCCTTCAGCCAGCAGGGCCACGACGACATACGCAGGGAGCTTGGCCGCGCGGCCTCCTACGACGAGGCGATGGGTCTCGTTCTGCGAGAGATGTCGCGCAAGCTGATGAGGATGTTCGGACTGGTAGAGGACGACATGTCGGCATCCAAGAGTCTCACGTCCATCGGCGTCGACTCGCTAGTCGCTATCGAACTGCGTACCTGGATCACGTCGCAGCTCAACGTCGACGTGCCCATCTTCGAGCTGATGGAAGGGAACACGGTGACCGGCCTGGCTGAGGTGGTGGTGAGGAAATTGGGCCATGTCAAGGCGGATCAGTCTTAGAAGTCGGCGGTGCGGACAATAGATATAGCTGAATTGGGATGCTTTCTGATCGGCAAGCCGGATAGGGGTCGATAGGTCTTTTTTGTTTTCTTAGTCTCGCCACATATCAATCATACTACAAGAACCTCACTCTGACTCGATGAATGGCCCGAGTAACAAGTTGTACTATTTGAAGACAACACCACCTAAAATGGCCATCGACACAGCTCAGCCCATATATACTAGCTAGCTGGCCCGCCATGGAACCATGTTACATACAGAGAGACTCCTCGTCAGTGCCCTAGACTAAGCTAAGCAACACAAGAAGATCACTCATGGAGCAGTACTAAGGTGTATGAGCATCTCTGATCGATTTCATCCCCTTTTGGTATATGTCTTGAATTTATGGAAATGAATTGCATTAGTAGAAGGCGATATGACATAAAGCATCAGGGCCGGTTCTTCTATTCTAATCTTCGTCGTCTATAGGTTTCTCCCTATGCAGTAGCGCTCTTTTGCTTCTCGCCGGCAGACGATGCTATGGCCAGGCCAACAGATGCCGTGGCTCCATTCGTTCTGGGGGCGGGTGTAGTAGTCCTCGTGGCCGGGGCGGATCGGTTGTGAGCCATGTGTGCCTTGACAAGGTGACCGGCGTCCAGGGCGGAACACAACGAGAGCTCCCCGGCAAGGACGGCGGCACCAATAATGCGTCCCAGCCGGCGGGCATTCTCGCCCGGCTCCGTGGGGTGGGAGCCCCGGACGCCAAACATGTCAAGCATGGCGCTCTGAGGCTCGAGGACGGTGCCGCCACCCAATGTGCCGACCTCGATAGAAGGCATCGAGACCGAGATTTGGAGGTTGCCGTTGAGGCTATGAACTGTCAGTATCCGTCGGTACAGAACCCAACGCCCCGTGTGTATGTGTGCTTGTGTGCGTACAGTCATGCAGGGACTGACACTTACTTTTTCATGATGGTGATGCAATTGGAGCTCTCAACCACCTGTGCGGCATCTTGGCCAGTTGCAATAAAGACTGCGGCAACGATGTTGGCGGCCTGGGCGTTGTAGCCACCCAAAGAAGCCGCCATTGCAGAGCCAATGAGGTTTTTGGACACATTGAGCTCGACCAGGCTGTCCACGTTGCTCTTCAGCACGCTCTTGACAACGTCACCAGGAATAATGGCCTCAGCTACAATGCCTTTTCCTCGCCCATCGATCCAGTTGATGGCAGCGGCCTTCTTGTCGATGCAGTAGTTGGCCGACAACGAGACAATCATCATATCCTCGAAGCCCCCCTCGGCGGCCATGATGTTGAGCGCGTACTCGACGCCCTTCGAGATCATGTTCATACCCATGGCGTCACCGGTACTTGTCTTGAAACGGATATACAGGTTGGTACCGGCCATGGCGGTCTTCATGACCTGCAAACGCGCAAATCTGCTAGTGGAGTCAAAGGCCGCCTTCATCATGCTCTGGCCAGCCTCGGAATCTAACCAGTTCTTGGCGGCGCCGGCACGCTCTAAAGAGTCGAAGCCCACACAGGGGCCACGGGTCATACCGTCACTAGTCAAGACGGTGACGGCGCCTCCTCCCGCATTGATTGCCTTACAGCCTCGGTTGACGCTGGCCACGAGCACTCCCTCCGTCGTGGCCATGGGGATGAAATAGCTCTGGCCGTCGATGACCAAGGGTCCGGCGACTCCGACAGGAATAGGCATGTATCCGATCACGTTCTCACAGCAGGCGCCCAGAACCCGTTCCCAGTCGTAGTTCTCGTAAGGTAGCTTGGACTGTTCGAGAAACCAAGTCTTCTCGGCCGTTGCGCGGGTTCTCGAGATGATGGAACGGCGAACTCGAACGGCGCGGCTGCAATCACGAAGGCTCCTTTCTAAGCCATACCCAGTGATCTTGCCTTGAAGAGAAAGTGAAATGACCTCGTCGTCCGTCATGTCGTATATGCGCTTCTCGGCAAGTAGTCTGTCCAGCTGAGCTTGGCTGTGGGGGGTGACATTGACCTTGCGTGGCTCTGCCTCGTCTTCGTCATCGCTCGACGCAGGTGACACGAATTCCGGCTGGATAGCCTCTCTGGCTTCACCTGAGCGTAAGTCAGTACCATGTGTACCGATCAACGACTCAGCCGCAGCCACTCCGGGGAGATCGGTCGGATCGTGTTGGCCGTCGGGATCTTTGATGCCCCATCGAGCGACATTGAAAAGATAGCCGTTGAGGATCACGCTCATGGCCAGGGCTACGATAATCCACTTCAAGACAACTGTGTTTTCGAGGCTAGTGGAGACGATACCAACCATCTGTGCACCGACTCCGTATCCGTACTCGAGAGGCTGATGATGGTTGTCGTCGTCACCGATATGATGGCCGTGTTGAGTCGAAGAGCTGGCGTAGTATATCGAGGGAAATCCCAGCTCGTACTTGATAGAAGGCAGAACGGTGACTGCGGTGGTCCGTTCAAGTCCTCTCGCCCTAAGGAGAATCTCGTCCAAGCCGTTGGAGGCGATCTTGAAGGGGTCGACGGGGGGCGTCGCCACTATCCCACCAGTCCAGGATGCCACACCGTCAGTACGGAAAGGGATGGTACAAAGATTGATGGTGTTGACGGCAAGGAAACCTGCTACCATCCAGAACTTGAACTTCGGCACGCTTCCACTCCGGGCCTCCGGGCCAAACAAGAGTCCATTCTCTCCGGACTTGCCGTTCAGTGCCCAGTCGTTGCTCGAGGCCACGTGCTCAGCGACACGGCGGCTCACGCCATCATCTTCCAGGGCTTTTCGTATGTCGGCATGACGCTTGATGCGGTTGACTTCCAATTTGATACAGAGGATGGCGGTGTAAAACGTAAAGAGCAATAGGCAGTCGAAAACCAGGACCCAGGCCGCTAAGAAGCAGAACTGCTGCAGACCCCCCTGAACGCCGGAAACAGCTCCGGCAACAAGTATACCGATCTCAATGACATAGTCCCGGACGATTTCGTATCCCTTGTCCCTAATGGCGCTTTGCACGGCGGTTTGGATAACCCCCTGGGCAGGATTGGCGGATGTCTCCTCGGGACGGCGGTGCTGTACTGCGTGCGACAAGACGGCGCGGGTAAACAGGATTTTCTTCTCGAAACCAATGGTAACGACCAAAAACGGCAAGCCTTCGGACAAAAGCACGGTGGAAATGGGAACACTGTACTTTGTCGTCACGCTCAAGCCGGAGAAAAAGGCGAAAGTGGAAGAGATGAGGACGCTGGTGGCTAACCACACGTTGGATCCCAGCTTTCGCATGCTCAAGAAAAGAGAAATAAAGGTAAGATGCATGGAAAGGTAGCCGAGGACCATGATGATGATGTCGGTCGTCTCTGCGCTCCTCAGCAGGTAGATGAACTCGGCCCAGGCGTCATGGAACCAGCGAGAGACGATGCTCTTGGTGTGTGCCCTGGCGAGCTTCATAATCCACATCCTCTGTTCCATCTCTCCCGACTTGGCGGCGGAGGACTCATGGTCGGCAGGTAGGCTGGGCCCGCTGGGGATCTCTTGGACTGCGGCCAGAAACTCAGGGGCCTCGCTGTACTTGAGGGAGAAGGCCAGAGCACTCTCATGCGAGTAGGCGGTCGGGTTGTTGAAGGTCAGTGGCAGATGGGAGACGGAGAGATTGCTGGGGAGAGGAACAGTGTACGGAGAAGGCGCAGACACGAGGCGGTCGGGCGATGAGTCGGGGAAGATGAGGGTAGCCAGTGCCAAGTGCTCGGCGTCGCTGGGTAGGTCGGTTGCGACGTCAAAGTTGTTCCACTTCCAGCTGGTCTCAGGGCCGGCAATGAGATGCCTGCTTCCTTCGGCTAAGGAGGGCCATTCGGCCGTTCTGGACGTGATACGTGTGGCATCCGAGGTTTCCTTGACGACTTGGACGTAGGTCGTGCTAGCTAGGATAGCGGTGATGCATATTGTATGTATAGGATGGGTGTAGGCGATCTTTGAGACGCATTGTATGATGGAGGCGACTTTTCTGTTTAGCCTGGATGGTGGAGAAGGCCGGTTGTCCGACTGTTCACCCCGGAAACGGGACGGGAGAAGCGAAGAGGGAATCATGACGGATCAGGGTTTGCGCCAAAAAGGGCCTTGAGCATAAAGAGTAGATCCTACGATCTGTTATACATCCGTTGTCAGCAATCACAACAGAATGATTTGTTGACGCCCCCGTAAACCCTCCAACCCCCCAACCTCCCCAAAGAGGTCTTGCGACGTGCTCAAAGCGCCGACTGCGTGCATCAGATACGATCCCGGCCGCATTGTGTGTCCGCCTTGGAGGACCAAAAGGAGATTGAGTGGTGTCATGGCAGGAACCAGGCGGCATACCTTGTCTCCCAGCCTCCTAGGTGGGAAGCAATCGGTAGGCCGGATCCGCCAGAGGGAGGGATGCTTCAAAACAGAGCTGGCGATATCTCTGAAGGGCACCAGTGGACAGTCGATGCTGCTGCCGCGTTGTATGTATCTGCGTGCGAGAAAGAGTATGTGTGGAGGAGAAGCCAGGCAAGAGCAGACAACGAGATAGATACCGCGGTGGTAGAGCACGTGACCTGCAATGTTACGGCGTCTTCGCGTCGGCCGAGCTCTTCGGCATGGCGTGGTCGGGGTTGGGGATCAGATTGGAATCCGGATTCCGATCCTGGTGTACCGTCTTGGTTGGCGGATGCAGGCCGTTGCTGAAGATGCCGTTTGCCCCAGAACGGATGTTGGAAAAGGGAGGGGTTCAACTCCTCGACTCTTTGATTGATTGACTCCTTGACCAATGGCGGCACTAAGGGGCACGACAGAAGGAAGCAACAACAACGGGAACCCAACACGGCGCGGGTTCAGACCACGATGGGCGACGTGGTTAGATGGACGACAAGAAAAACGATTGCGTTGTCTTGCGGCAGTTTGTGGACCTTTTGGAGCGCTGTAGCGCCCAGCATTGAATCCTACGACCCGCCAGCGGCGTTGGCGAGGCAGACAGACACGACGCAGCGGTTGGAGCGGCCAACAAACCAACAACAGGGCAATCATCTCCAGAGTGTGGTTGATTGATAAAACGGCAATGAAGTTCCGAGTTGCTCCACCCGGATGACTCGATTATTGCATCGGCTATGCATGCACTCGGCTGTGACGAGAAAAGAGTAGACGTCCAGGAGCTGGAAGAGATGAGATTGTAAGGCATCCATACAGCGGGCATGATCGGCTGCAGGACCAGTTCTCACTCTTTGCCTTGACCCATGTTGGTTGCCCGCCGTAGAAAAGGGTTCAGAAGACACCTCCAGCCGGTTTGCAGGTTGTTTGGTTCTGGCATTGTGCTGAGGTTGCTTGGCAGGGGTACAGATGAATCTCGTCGAAAGCGGGAGGGATGGGATGTGGTGCAGGAGGAGCAGGAATGGGATAATTAGGGTGTGGTGCACTCACTACTTACGTTACACCAAAAGGTACCTGAGGCTGAGGCTGAGGCTGAGGCTGAGGCTGAGGCAGGCAGGTAGGTACGTAGGTACGTAGATTACGCTAGGCTACGCTAGGTACCCTCAGTACACTAAGGTAGCGGGAACGAGTCAAGCTTTGGTGGCACCGTGGCTTGGCCAGTTCCGTCTCTCCACAAATACAGGGCGAGTGTGGGGGTCGTTGGAACTGTTCTTCCCGGGCCGATCGATTGTGCTCTCCGATTGGTTACGCACCGCCTGCGTCCAACAACAGGCCGTTGCAGGCCAATCACAACTAGCCCAAGTGCTAAGGGTACCTTTACATATGATTCCATACGGCTCTCACGTCGTATTCTTGCGGGCCATCAGTTCAATATTGCAGTGACTGCTCGCAAAGGATTCGGTTCCCTGGCTCGTCGTCAAGTTGGAAAGCAATGCTGGATAAGTGAGCTGGCTCTTATTAATACCCCAAGACGTTGCAGCCAGAGTGAGCTTTGTATCAGACCACGTATGTAGCGCGCCCAATTTGTTCCACGTAGAGTTCCCTTCTAGGCTGCGGCATTGCTTCTTGAGAAACGGCCCCCCTTCCTGTTCCCGTCTCCTTGTCACGACTCACAAGTCACAGGGGATACTCCAACACAGACGATGGACGTTTGTCGAAGCCCCCCGCAACAAGCCCCGGAGGCGACCAGCTTTGCCGCGAACAAGCTTTCCGTTCAGTCGTACCGCAGGTCGTGCGACCGCTGCCACGTCCAGAAACTCAAATGCTCTCGGAACACGCGGTCTCCCACACAGTGTCATCGTTGCGAGCGGGCTGGACACAAATGCGTCTACAGCCAGAGGAATCCCAGACAGTCAGCCAGGGTGAAGGGTAGCGCGTCCTCCGCCGCGCGGGGGGGAGCCGGCCAGTCGCACCAGCTTCCTATGCCAGCCGGAGGGGACGATGCGTCATCCGACAAGTTGTCGCCCGAGTGGCCGGGCACCCTTGATGGAGATGCCGTCGACCTTTTGCAGGAATGGACCTGGCAAGACTTCACGGGGGGCCCTCTAGGGGACTATCATGACCTTTTGGGTCAAACACTGTACAGCCCGCAGACGACGTCGACGTCGACGTCGACGCCGCTTTCGGCAAAGGAAGGGAACAACACCGCGACGGTTAGCGAGCAACAAGATGTCTTTGAGCGTCTGTCCAGCATATCAAAGACTCTGGAGGACTATATGCACTTTTTGGCCAACCAGTGGGACCATAAGGAAATCCAAAACTGTAAGGGCGTCTGCTACCATCCCTGTGCTCCCCAGCATGAGTGATCTGGTCCCGGCTAACCTCCTACCCGCCATCTCACAGATCCCATTGGCGAGGTTTTCGGCACCTTCCAGGCTTTTCTGACGATGCTTCAGGTCCAGAGGCCGATTGAGAACCCTGGCGTGCTGGAGGGCTGCCAGCATACCAGAACCGTCCTCCTTGCGTCTCATTGCTACACGGTGTGCGTTAAAATCATGGAGGCTCTAGCCGAGACGCTGTGCCAGGACATGTCCGCCCAGGCCTCGCAGAACGCGCTGCGGCAACCGCCCGGGGACGTCATCTCCGCCAACGGCGCCGAGGTCGACTTCCTGGTGGGCGAGTCGTTCTCGCACCTGCACCCCCTTGCCAGCTCGTTGGTGTCGGCCTGCACGACTCTGCACACGGGTGTCGGCATCCTGTGCAAGGTCGAGGTGGAGCTCGGCGTGCCCTGGGGGAACGGCATCATGGCCAGAGAGGCGTTGCCTGTCGAGGGCGACGTTGAAACCCTCTTCCCGTCGCAGAAGAGGAAAAGCTCGGCAGCGTTCACGCAGGCGGCTCGTTTCCTCGGTGTGATGCGGGAGGGGGCAGACAGTGATTTTGGCTACATCAGCAATCTCCAGAACTTCCACCGGCATCACGCCGGGATCCTACGTCTGACGAGACAGCATACCGTCTATTTCCTGTCCAAGATTTTATCGCCACAGACAACCAGGACGTAGCGCAGAACAATTGCAAGACGTTAACAGCACATAGAGTAGTATAGAATCACAAAACAAATATGCCAGAGAGCCGAAAATTCGATTGGGTATTAGCATTCAAACTGCCATAACCATCTTCACATCTCGAAGCCAAGAGACTAGAAGACGGTAGAGTCTCGCAATGTGCCACTAGATCTAGCGCTCAAATACAACGACAATCTTCTCGCCGGAAAGCTCGCCGGCCCTGACGACCTCCATCGATTGCTTCACCTGCTCCAACCCTCCATGTATCACACGCAAGGGATGGTGCCGCAGCTTGCCCTCTTCGACGAGCCTTCCGGCGACGCGCCAGAGCAGGGCTCCAAACTCGCGCTCCTCGTCGGAGCCCTCACGACCGTAGGGCGCAGGCCAGGTTGAGCCCTCTCCGAAAATGGTCGGGCCGAGGGTCCAGTCGGTCGTTACCATCTTCCGCGTGGCCGCGTGCTCGGGGAAGGGGTTGAGAGAGACGTACCGCCCACCGGCGCGGCCGATAGCCTTGAAGCACGCTGTGGAGGACTCGACGTTTGTGATGCAGTCTAGCGCATACCGAAGGTTGTTTTTTGTAAAGGCACGCTGAGGAGGGGGAGAAGAAGGAGAGGGGTTCTTGTCAATCTTTGTCTCGGCAGGGAAAAGGGTGTGTGTCTTACAATTTTTTCGGCACATTGTGAGTCGTGGTAGTCAAACACCTCTTCGGCACCGTTCCTCTTGGCCAGGTCGAAGTTGTGAGGCGAGCAAACGGCGATGGGAACATATCCGGACCTAGAATTGTACGATTGCCGAAATGTCAGACATGATCTCAGTCGTCAAAGGAACAAGATAACCGCCGACGACGACGATAGTTAAAGAAGGTGATACCGCTTGCCAGCGGGCCATCATGATCACAACATTTTGGATTTCATGGCAACAGAAGGGAGACGATATTCTCGGGACCGCAACATACTCTCTCAAGAACTGCATCGTGATGGTGGCCGTGGCGGTGCTCCCGCCGTACACCAGGACGTACGCCGTCTTGACAGGCTTGGCATCATCACTAGTGTACGGCAATGAGATGCCAAGCAGCTTCAAGGCTAGGCCGGCCGTGCTGATGCCGGCAGGCAGGGCAGCGGCTGCTTCCGTGGCCCAGCCGTCGGGCACCTTGGCCCAGACGCCCCCACGCGTGATGGTGTACTGGGCAAAGGCCCCCTGGTCGGGCGTGCGAGGACACATCTCATTCTGCGCGCCGTAGACCCTGTCGCCGACCCTGACGTGCGTGACGCCGGACCCCACCGCGACCACCGTCCCGCAGTAATCGGTGCCCAGGAAGGCCCACGGCGTGGCGAAGGCGCCTCGCATCTTGGTGTCGCTGGGGTTGAGCGCGACGGCGTCGATGCGGACGTAGACCTGGTCAGCGGGCAGCTTGGGGCACGGCGCGTCGTCCCAAATGACCACCTCGTCGTTATCGTTTACCGTCATGGCCTTCTGCTTAGCAGGCGGGGTAAACGCGACTTCGTTTGCCAGGCTGCCCATTGTGTCTTTCTTGTTCGTCTGTGTTTGGGGAAAGATAGGGGAGGTGAGGTGGAGGGCGGCAGGTGATGGGAAGCTGTAGTGTGATTCGACACCTTGTGTACGTGCTGTATCGAGTGCTTCCAAAGTTGCCTTTTCCGGACCAATTTTTTGGTCATTAATGCAGGGTTATTTAAGAGCATCCTGCCGCGAAACACTGGATATGTCGAGCATCCTCCTGATGTGTATCCACTTGCGGCACGGTCGACATTCAACACGGCGTTTTTCGGTGTTGAGGTAGGAAACGCCGAACATCGGCGTGTCAGACATTTGGCGGTTTATGGCTAAGATCAACTCAGGAAAGCATGACGGGCACGTTTTGATAGATGCACAACAAAATGGGTCGTAAAACCGAAGCCGAGATGCCATTTGCCGCCGTCTTGGTAGCCAGTGCGGTTCCCCCCCAAGCCTTTCTTCTCGTCAGTCACGGAAGGTAAGTCACCTTTTGCACCACCATCACGAAACCCCGATTTTCTTTTCGTCGCAGCCTGACAGCATCATAGTCCAGAAGTTCTAACGCCCTCGACAAACCCTGCAAGCGATTGACATCATGGGCGTCACAAAACCTCAACTCACGACGCCGCCCAGCGCCCCCAGAGCGCTTCTGTGTATCCATGGGTCTGGTGGCTCAGCCAACATATTCCGCGTCCAGACGGCCAAGCTTCGCATGGCGTTACGACATGAGTTCGAATTCGTCTATGCCACCGCCCCGTTCGAATCCGAGCCTGGTCCGGGTGTGTTGCCGCTGTTTCGAGGCATGGGCCCGTACCGTTCCTGGTTTTTGAAGGACGACGGTGACAAAAAAACTAGAGTGAACCGGACGAACGACAACGAAGAGCCCAGCGCAGACACTTCGTCAGTGGGTGGCCGGCTCTTGGAAGTGAATAAACCCGTCCAGAAGGTTGTCGAGGACTGGCAGAAGAACAACCCGCAGATTCCCATTGTCGGGGTCATGGCCTTCTCCGAGGGCGCATTGGTGGCCACGTTGCTGATATGGCAGCAGCAGATGGGAAGGCTGCCGTGGTTCCCAAAGATGGACGTGGCCATGTTCATCTGTTGCTATTACACCGAGGAGGCCACGGACTACATAAAGACCGAGTCGCCAGATGACCAAAAAGCGACCCTGATCAACGTGCCGAGCGTGCATCTCCAAGGCCTGCAAGATTTTGCTCTCCAAGGGTCGCGGACATTGGCTGCGACGCACTTTTCCCCTGAAAACGCCGACATACTAGAGTTCCAGGGCGGGCACCACATCCCCAGCAGAAAGAGCGACGTTGATGAGGCTGCGAGGCGTTTCCTCAACTTGTTAAAGCGCTGAACGCCTACCAGTGGGAACAGATTCGGTTGGTTTCACAGCTGCTTTTCGCGGTTCAGGTCGTAAACATAGTGACAATAACGCAACGGAAAAAATAAGCGAATGTACCTGTAAGCAACTACCGCGCTTCCCAAGGTCCGCCATTGAGATGTGCTATCGATAGAGTGTCTTTTACCAAGAACACGCCCACGCAGCACGTCGGCTGTCTTATCCACACCTTAAGTACCTGAAGGCTGACTAACACCGTCCGCAACCGAGAAGGAATTCGGGATTCAAGCCAAGCCAAGCCCAGCCTACTTAAGCAGCGGCTCGCCCCGTCCCTAGCTTACTTGTTGTTTACAATATGCCGCTTTACAGGCGCCACAAGCCACTTGACTCTTTCGGAAAGACCAACAGCACCAACAGTAGCCCTGTCTTCACCCGACCATCTCTTTTCGGCTTTTTGAAGTTTCTGCATCGAGTCTGTAATGTCTTTTTGATACCGGCTCTTCCTATCCTACTCGTTCGCCCACCCGGAATCCCGACCAACTTCGGTCGCACGCAAACACGTCTCGTGGCCACCGGCATCCGTGACGATGGAGAAACCCGTCAATGACACTTCCGTGTCCCTCGGCGCGCCGGAGGAACGCAATCACGTTGGCGAGGTAGCCCCGAAAGAGCTCGAAAACACACAGGACGTGGTAGAGGATGTCGAAAAACGGGAGTACCTTTCCGGTGTCCAGCTCTGGCTGGTGCTTGCTTCCGTCACTCTTGTTGCCTTCGTCATGCTCCTCGACATGTCCATCATCGTGACGGCAAGTTCTTCCCTACCCCCAATCTGTTAGTCGGTAATCTCCTGACCTCGTGCGAGCAGGCAATTCCTCAAATCACAAACGACTTCCATTCCCTTGGCGACGTCGGGTGGTACGGCAGCGCCTTTCTCCTGGCCAAGTGCGTCACGTCCCTCCACCACCGCCCATCCAGCCCACCTTATCGCTCCCGTTCATCCGTTTGCTGACTGCTTTTGGATCCAACAGCTGCGCCCTGCAGCCTCTAGCTGGCCGGCTATACACATTGACGAGCTACAAGGTATTGCCCTTGGCTGCTCTCTTTCCCGGCCACATGGCTAACACAGTGTAGTACACTTTTCTTGCCTTTCTCTTCGTCTTCGAGATCGGATCTGCCGTTTGCGGATCTGCCCAATCGTCCAAGGCATTGATCGTCGGCCGAGCCGTGGCCGGCATTGGTGGTTCTGGTATCATGAACGGTGCCCTCACCATCGTCTCTGCCAGTTCCCCCATAGACAAGCAACCGCGTGCGTGGCTCACCTCTCGCCTATTGTCTCACTCAATTGTTAACTGAAACTGTACACAGTCATGGTAGGGACCATGATGGGATGTGAGTGACTACCAAAGCAGAACCAAAATGGTTGCTATCTCTTCTGACTCTGGCAATCAGTGAGCCAAATGGGCATCGTGTGTGGACCGCTAGTTGGAGGCGCTTTCACACAGGGAGCTAGTTGGCGATGGTGTGAGTGTGCTTCTGGTGCCAATTCGACACATCCCTTCTAACAACTCACTTAGGCTTTTACGTCAACCTACCCATTGGTGCTCTGGCGGCCGTTCTGCTCCTCACCATTCGCATCCCTGATCATCGCTCCTCTGAGATTGCGTCTGGTCAAACGCGTTTGAGAACAATAGTTTCCAAGCTCGACCTGACTGGCTTCCTCTTTTTCGCTGGCTTTGCCGTCATGGTGGAGCTGGCACTCTCGTGGGGAGGGTCCGACTACCCCTGGAACAGTCCAACCGTGATCGGTCTGTTCTGCGGGGCCGCCGTCTCCTTGGCGATCTTTGTGGCATGGGAGCACCGCGTTGGTGACGATGCCATGATCCCAGGCTCTGTTGCCTGCCGGCGTGAAGTCTGGAGCGCTTCCCTTTACCTAGGCTTCTTTTCTGGCGCGCTACTATGCTTCTCATACTACATGCCCATCTACTTCCAAGCCGTCAAAGGAGCATCCGCTCTTATGAGCGGTGTCTATCTCCTCTCCGGGATCTTGCCTCAGCTAGTCATGGCAATCTTGTCCGGCGCACTCAGTAAGTGATCGAGAGGGATTATGGATGTGCCACTGGCTGCATGGTTCTGAATAACTAACATCGATAGTTGGAAAAATGGGATACTATTTACCCTGGGCATTGGCTAGTTCCGCTATCATGCTTGTTGGCGCTGGTTTGACGACAACCCTAACGGTCAAGGCAACGGTTCCCCAGTGGGTTATGTATCAGTTCGTCGCCGGATTCGGTCGAGGCTGTGGCATGCAAACGGTGATACCCCTCTTTCTTGCTTCCCAGATCATACCGGAAAGGTCTCCTGGCTGATTTTTCTTCCTCCCAATCAGCCCGTCATTGCGATCCAAAACACGCTCCCAACCAGACAGATCCCGCTCGGCATGTCACTGGTCATCTTCACGCAGACCTTCGGAGGGTCCCTCGCGCTGACGATTGCGCAACTCGTCTTCAACAGCTGCTTGGAAGCGGCCATTCCCAAGTTCGCCCCTACGGCAAACGTGGACGCCATAACGTATGCTGGCGCGACTGGCTTCTCCTCGGTGGTCACTCCAGACGAGCTTTCTGGCGTTCTGCGCTCTTACGCCTATGCCATCGACAAGACTTTCTATGTTGCGCTGGGTGCTTCAGCTGGGACATTTTTGTTTGCTTGGGGCATGGGATGGCGAAAGATTCAGCAAAAGAAGGGCAATAATACTTCGGGCGTTCAAAGTCAACCAGCGGCGGGTGATGGAAGCAGAACAGAAAGAAACGAGGTTTAGACGTTTTGTGAGAGGACTCGACTACTTAAGTCAGGTGGGGCGCTCGCTGAGTGACATCTGTTGAGATAAAAGGTGTGATGGGTGGAAGAGTCAGCCTTCAAGTGTGGCAGGAAAGTTTTCTGTGGACATTATTACCGTCTTTAATACGAAGGGGCACCGATGAAAGGCTTGTAGCCTGCAACGAATTCAAGATGGTCTCATTGTATCTTCCTCGTGCTTTCAATCCATGGAACTTGTAGAGAGTTTTGCAATTGAGTGATTGAGTCAATCTTATCAAAGTCAACCTCCTTCGTTGTGTCTATCCCTCCTCTGTTGCTGTTTCGGTTTGATACCGGCGATTTGAGCATCCACCTATGCCGTACCAGATATCTCAACGTGTTTGAGAAGGTGTTTTGCCATTCTGTCTTGCCCAATCTGTAGTTATAGTCAGAGCCACCTGCTTGAACGCTACACGCCGGAGATGAAACCTAGGCAGGCTCGTTTCTGGTGATGCCTCCAGGAACTTGCCTGAATCACAAAAAGTCCTTCTGTCAGGGTCTACAGCTGTCATGACTCCAAAAGAGGTGCAAGACGCGAGACAGCTTGTTTCAAGTAGTCTCACGCCACAAGGAATTTAAGCATCGGCGGCTGGCTGTCTCATCGTATACTGGGCCTTGGAGGCGTGGTAGTCGGCCAGCTCGCGGAATTGCGGTTTCAGCCGAGATCCGCTTTCCTTCTCGCTCTCTTTTACGTCCGCGCTCCCTCCTTCGCATAGTGAAGCGCTGAATTCCTCTCGCAAAGCGTTGCTGTCAAAGGCCTTGGGAAGAGAGACATCGTTCAGGGGTGTGTTCTGGGTAGAACCGTGTGAGAAAGTAGCGGCGGCGGCAACGATGTGAATGCCACAATCAAAATCGGCTGGCTGAATCGGACCCTATTGTCATGTAAAGTGTTAGAGAGGGTGCAATGACCGAGGGAATGGATACTCAACTCCTAGCCACCAGGAGCGGATACCCAGGAGACACTTGATGGAGAACTCAGCTTAATCGCAGCGACGGACGGCACCATGTCGAGCTTGCATAACCACTGGAGAAAGGACATAGCGACATCGCTCGTGAGAGGAGACATTGTGAGGTCCTTTCCAACAGAGTCGTAGACCTGAACAGATTGCGAGTTGAATTGGTTGCGGTACCAGAAATGTTGGGTGCCGTCGTTAACTGGAAGAAGAAGTGAATCACGCCCGGCTTCGCGAACAAGCCAATCAGGCGTCCGTTTCCAAGAAGCCCAATTACTGGCCACCACATGGCTATCAATGACGCCCAGCCTGTCGCTTCTTGTGCGTGTGCAGAGGGTGTTGATGATTGTGTCGTTGAGGAACTGACCAGGGGCAAGCCTTGGGAGACTGGCAACGAGTTCCCTCATCTCGTTATCGGACTGGTGCGCGGCGTGACTAAGTGGTAGTGGCATAGACTGCGTGAGGGCTTGGGTGTCTTGTTTTGACGACCCAGAAGTCTCAGAGACCTGATGATCCTGTTCCAGCCGGCCTTACGGATGCTCAGAGACTTTGGAGTCCTGGCTCGCCCCGTCAAGCAAGACTCTTTAAATATTTGCAACGTCCTCAACCTTGGATCGAACAGCGGTGTTGCTAAGGGTCATACCGTAGGAACTGAGACGTAGCATGAGAGACAGGCGAAGCTCGATGAAAATGCTAGCCATGCGATAACTTAGCCGTGCGGTGCGGTCTCACATACGATCTGCGGTTTAACGTACTGCAGTGATTGACAATGCACAAGGAAGAGCTGGCGGGCTGGCTTAGAGACCATAAGCACAAGCATGAAACTATCAAGCAATAGAGTTATGGTATAGGGATTTTGTGAACACGACGACACCACGCAAAGTTTCATTCGTGTTTACTCTCGTACGAGATCCAGGTCCGTCATGTCATTGGGCAACCTGGCAGACTTCTCCAACAGGTTGATGCACCTTTTCATTTCCTTCCAAGACAAAATTAGTGAGCCTTGGAAGGGATGTCGAACCCAAATGTACTTTTGTTGCACTCTCTGCCTGTAGCCCATTCATGCTCCCTAGTTTCTACGGTAAAAAGAACCAAATCATCTCTAACGGAAAGAGCAAGGCTACGGGGCCACCGCGCGACACAAAATCAGCCCCTGACAGAGACATCCTCCCCCTTTTCCTCCTCAAGTGCCATGATCAGTTGCTGGACTGAGTTGAATATCATGATGAGGGCGATCTCGACGTTGCTTGCGGTCTTTGGCGACACCGACGTGATTCGATCAGGCTCAAGTAAGAGGATCTCGTTGCACAGAGCGGCAATCTTAGCGGTGATTCTAGGTATTGCTGGTAGCAGAGAGGGTTCTTACGCTCGCTTTTAGCTATCTTTATTAAGAATATCTTTTAATAAAATTATAATTAATTATTAAAGCCTTACCTACCTTATAACTTATAAATATAGCTTTAAAGAAGCTATTTATAACTACGATATTATTTATTTAGCCCTTATAGCCTTAACTTTTATTATATACTTATTACGACTAGCTAGTTATAATACTTTAATTACTCCTATTTAATAAATTTACTTTACAAAAGATTAATTAAATAATATGAAAAATGTCTTCCTATGCCTTTATAAAGTTACTTATTCCGGGCTCCTTTACTTTTTCTAAATAATCTATTTAAAGTTTAACTAAAGAGATAGAGATAGCCCTAATAAATATTAACTTTAATAACGAGATTACCCTTAATAAAGACGTTTATGAATAACTTAAAGAATAAATTAAAAAAGGAGATATAGATATTACTAAAATATAAACTATATATAACGATATTACGAATAAACTTTAAAACCTTAAAATTATAATCTAATAGTTCGGGAATAGCCCTTAATACATTTAAGACCTAGAAAACGAAGTTATTTAAATTAAAGAATAAAAGTTAAGTATTAATATCTAAGCTTTTTAAAAAAAAGTTAATATCTTTTAAGCTGCTATTAATATTATTAATACTCCCCTTTAAAGAGGACGATAGAAACTTAAGCTTAACGTACTTATTACGTATAAAGGTACCCCGGGTACCCTTAAAGGATTTTTAATTTAAATTAAAAACTATTAAAACTTTTACTATAAAGATTTTATTAATAAAATTAAAAAAGTTATATATATTACTAGCTTCCTTAAAGGACGAGCCTTTAAATAATTTAAATTAATTTAAAAAGAATACTTTAATAAAAAAACTCTCGATAAGTACTCTATTAAAGTACGTAATATTTATTATAGTTTTAATAAGTTCGAAAAAGCCCTTAAGTCCTTATTCTAGGACCTTAATAAAAAACGATAAGCTAAGTATAATTTAATATAGCTTTAATAAACTAAATCGGTAAAGAAATACTCTATTAAATTTAAACGTCTTAATACTTAACTAGACCTTACTAATAATATAAAAATATTTATATACTATTAAAGATTAAAGGATAAAGTTAAGGACGAATTAGTCCTATTTAATAAACTAAACGACTTCCTTTAATATAATAAACTTATTATTAAGCTTAATAACCGACTTTATAAATAAAAAATAAAAAAAAAGGATCGTAAATAAGAATCTAATATAGGATATAAATACTAATAGTAACCTTAACGTAACTTTTAAACTAATTAACGACCTTATAATAACTAGAACGGTAATTACTAAAATACCGCTTATAGATAGTATAAAGGTCCTATAGACCTTAATGTCGTTAAAAAAAAAAGACCGATTAAAAAAAGAGTTTAAATACTATAACTATAATAAGCTAGGATATATAGCTAGGGATTACCGATAATCTAAATATATTTAGAACTAACCCGTCCTAAAAAAAAGGGCTAACCTTATTATTAAAAAAGTTCTTTATATATAACTATTATAGATAGGCTATTATAACGATAGCTACTTTATATATAAAAATAATAAAGAATAAATAAAATAATACCTTAAAAAACTAAAAAATAAAAGACGATTAAAATATAATACTATACTACTACTAGTTAAGACCCTAGCAGTAATAAAAAAAAAGAACTCTTAATTAAAACTATCTATATAATATAACGAGAAGACAATAATAAGAAATTCATTTATAAAGTTAAAAAATAGCTTAAAGACCTATCCCGTAAAAATAAAATCGAAATACTTAAAAAACTAACTTTTAATTTTAATATTATAAACGAAAAAAGAATTAACTTTTAAGTTAAAAAAAGAAAAATTAATATAGAAAATAGCTCTTACTACCCTAATAAAGAATCACTTAATAATTCGGACGAACTTCGTAACGTCGCTCGATAACGTACTTAAATAAAGATTAATTATAAAATACCGCCTAGCGTTAATAATATTAGTTCTAAAAAGGACGATGACGAATTAAAGTATAAGTATATTTATCTATTTAAAAATAATTAAGTTATTTAGTTCTATAGAACTAAAGAATATAAAAAAGACGTAATAACCTTTTATATAGAGAAAAACTATTCTTTATTCGACCTTAAAGACCCTTTTTATAAAGAATTATTTTAAGTAGAGTACCTAAACAATAAATGCCTTTAGTACCTTATACTTAAATAAGATAGCCACTTCTATCTATAAAAGCGTAATAATAAATATATTAAAGATATCTACGTAAATAACTAACTATTTAATTAGACGCTATAATAGTATAATAATAACGATAAAGTAATATTCGGTCTAGATCTAAACTTCCTTATAAAGTATTTAAGTAGTTAATATATAAACTAAAAAGACTATAGATATAACTAATACTAGATCTATTATGTTAAAAAGGCTAAGGCCTAAAGAAAGAATTAAAAACGATAAAAAGCCCGATAAAAAAAAATATTAAAAAACTAAAAAAGCTAATTGCAAAGGAATAATAAAAGGTAAGATTAAAAAATAAGTTCCTATATATAACTAGATAATATAATGATATATACCTATAAATAAGATTCGAAATTTATAAAAAAGGACTAAACGCTATTATCGATAGTGGCGTATAAAAAAGCTATATCTTACTAATAGTAATAAATAAGCTCGACCTATTATAAATATAAAAGGATAACCCCTACCGACTATAAATAATAAAAAGAGAACGAATTGGTTACGATTTCGGATATATTAATTAAAAAACTATATACCTTTTAATATATATTAACGATTAGTAAAAATAATTAAAGTATAATATTATAGAGATTAGAAATATCGATATTATTTTAGGACTTTCGTAGTTATAAAGATATAACCTACGGATAAATTAGATAATTAACTAAATTTAATAGGAAAATCTAATTACTAAACGACCTTAAAAAAAAAAGGGTTTAAACGGATTTCTAGTAACTCCTAAAAAAAGAAAATAAATACGATATATAGCTTTTATTAAAACGGTAAAAATCCCTAGGAAGTTTATAATTAGTATTAATAATTAAAGATTATAACGGCTCTAAATTATACCTAAAAAGTACTGGAAATATATAAAACTATTTATAGAACCTAAAGAAATAAGATTACTAGAATATAATAGCTAGGATATAAAGATTAAACTTAAAGAAAAAATATAACCTAGATTTTATCTATTATATCCTATATATTAAAAAGAATAAAAATACCTTAATAAATATATTGACGAAAAACTTAATAAGGAATATATTCGACCGTTAAATTCTCCCGTAAGATTTCCCTTATTCTTTATATTAAAGAAAGGAAGAAAGAAATCAAGATCTATAATTAATTATAAAAAACTTAACGAAATTACTAAAAAGAATTACTATCTTTTACCCCTTATTATAAAACTTAGAGATCTACTTTACGGAGCTAATTAGTTTATTATAATAGATCTTAAAAAAGTATTTAACTAGATTTAAATTAAGGAAGGAGACGAATAAAAGACCGTATTCCGAATATGTAAAGGACTCTTTAAGTACCTCGTTATACCCTTCGGACTTATTAACGTATTAGTAATATTTCAAATAATAATCAACTATATATTTAAAAAATACGTCGATATCTTTATTATTATCTATATCGATAATGTCCTTATTTTCTTTCCCGACCTCGAAACTTATAAAAAGTATATTTATATAATATTTTAAAAACTTTAAGATACCAAATTATATATTAAACCCTTTAAATATAAATTCTATATATAGAAGATAGACTTCCTTAAATATACTATTATACTAGGATAAATTTATATATAAACCTCGAAAATAAAAGTAGTTAGGGACTAGCCTATATTATAAAACGTTAAGGACGTATAAGGATTCTTAAAATTCGTTAACTTTTATTAACGATTTTTTAAAGATTATATTAATATTATTAGACCTCTTAATAACTTAATATGAAAAGATAACTTATTTATTTAGGATTCTTAATATAAAGAGGCCTTT